TAGTAGAGACGGGGTTTCACCATGTTGACCAGGATGGTCTCGATCTCTTGACCTCGTGATCCACCCGCCTCGGCCTCCCACAGTGCTGGGATTACAGGCTTGAGCCACCGCGCCCGGCCTCATTCTAGACTCTTTAGAGAAGAAATGACAGTGGTGGTGGTGATGACGAAGCTGCCATGATTTACTGAACACTTACAGTTCGCCAAACACTGTGCTAAGTGCTTTATGTTCTTGGGCTCATTCCACCTCTGCCGTAGCCTTGTGAAGCAGGCACTGCTGTTGTCCCTGTATTACAGAAGAGGAAGCAAATTCAGATTCCTCTTCTACCAGGAAAAATTTCTTTACGCCGGTAGATGTAGTCTGCTATAGTGAGATACCATAAGCTTCAGTGTTGGCCATCAGGGTCCAAACCTCAGCTCCGGTATTGACAAATTAGTTATGTGAGCTTGGGTTAGGTTCTTTGCCTCTCCTTTGTTTCCTCGTGTTGTAAAGTGAGGATAATAGTATTAGAACATATTCCACAGGGCAATTCATTGGGATAATATATGTAAAATGCCTGGTATAGTACTTGGTACCTAGTAGGTATTCAATCACCATTAACCCAGTTTGTTATATATCCTGCAAACTGAAATCCTGAAATCCTGTTATCCTGAAACACAGAGGAGGAAGGGATTATTCCCTTCCTCCTCTGTGTTTCAGGATAACACTCACCATTTTCTCCTTTTCATTGTACATAGTTAGTTCTGAGCTGATCTTCCTCCCACATTCAACTGAGTTCCTTTATGGTAGGGACTACATCTTATTCCTTTCTGCATCCTCAGAGATGCTCAATACATGTTTTCTGAATGTCTTAGTTCACTCTTTGCATCCAAGCTTGGGGCTCTTTCTTGAGGGAATATTTAAGGAAAAACATTGAAAAGGATTTTGTATCTGAGAAGAAATTGCATTCACATGTCCAGAGAATGGGGTAAAACACACACCCCTGTCTGCCATCCTGGGAAATTTGATCAAGAAGAAAAAGTCATTTGTTAAAACTGTAGGCTTTCCTCAGAATAGCAATGGGTTCCCAGAAGGTGACTGGCACAATAAACTGGACTGTCCCTTAGGCTCAGGAAGGCCTCAGCTTCCTTGAACCTGTATGTGTACAAAGGTCCCTTCCTGCCTTAAAGTCAGAAACTGAGAGGATGCCCTGCCTTCTTACCAAGCATATGTACTGTCTGCTCTGGATTTTGCTACCAAATGGGCACAATTGGAAGGAATGAACCTTCTAATTGTCAGTTGATTGGCTATGTGAATGTTAAGACAGTTGGTCAATTTGGGGCCCCCTTGAGCATGTTCTAAGTGTAGAGTGAGAAAATGGAAGCACTCATAAACAGCAGGATTTGAATTCGCTTGGGGTATGTCGGTTGAGAGTGGGGGAACCCTGTTACTTTGAATTCATGCTGGCCCATCCTGCTCTTGAGATCATAGAAAGTTTTCTGCACATGAAGGCAAATCTGTGCTTGCTGTGTCTGGGCGGGAGTAGGGGTGGGTTATTAATAGGGAGAGGCATTATAGTGCTCTGGAAACCACTTGGGCTTTGGGCCCAGGCAAACCTGATTCTATTCTCTGCTTTCTGGCTATATGACCTTGAGAAGTCACTAGTCTCTTTGAACCTTATTTTCCTTAAATTTAAAATGGATACCAAATATAGCATTTGGCAGGTGCTCAATAAATGGCAGTTGTCATTGTAATTGCATAATCATCCATTTATAGGCACCATTTAATAATGATCATGGTACCAATTTTGCCATTGATAATGGAAAAGTATGCCATTGAATTAATTACATCTTTCCAGAAACAAAGAAACATGACTTTAAATGTATAAACTTAAAAATTGTTTGCAGTGGTGCTCAATAATTCATATACTTACCTATGAGTTGCTGTTTCTGTATAACCAATGTTTGGAGTATGGGTATTTTTCACATTAAGGAAGCTCTATTTCATATTTGCTTCTTGGAACTTATGTGTAACTTCAGAATTATGTCCTGTTTTTCATAAAGCAGATTACTCGTGATCTTGATCCCTTTAGGACCTTTAAGATTGGCAGTGCAATTTTGAGGTTTATCAAAGAATAGTGGGGCTTGGTCTACATTTTCTCTTTGGCTAAACTCATAATTTTTTTTCTCCTTAATTGATCATGTGTCACTGGAAATTAAATAGCTGGAAGCTTCTGACAATTAGATGTTTTTCATTTGAATGCTAGTCCTTTAGGCTTTGAAAATTCTACGTCTGTTCCAGGAGATTTAGTGATTTCTACCCCCTTTAATTACATTGTGTGTGATAAGCAATCTCTTGCATGCATAACAACCTTTCCTTTCAGTACTGTTTTATAGTGGAATTTAAAAATGTATTTGAAGTAATATTAGGGATCTTGAGTTAAAATTCAACTGCATATGATGTTAACAGTTGCAGAAAACTCAACTGCGTTGGTAATCAAATAACTTGTGTTCCGCTGACTCCACACTTAACAGCATGTCAGCAATTATGACTTACTCTGTGTGCTGCCCACAGATTTCTTTGAACATATATTAAAAAAGCCAGATTTCAGACATTAACCTGTAAAAAACACATGCATCTTAAAATAGAGGAAATGCAGTATTTTACTGTTAACAATGAGTATAAGTAACAGTGGCCAGCCCTAGGCAGCTTCCATCTTGGGAGTTTGCAAGTATAAGTTCTACAGTCAAAGGGGCTGAGTTTGAATCTTGACTTTCCTACTTAAACAAGCTGAGAACTTTGGCTATGTATTTCGCACAAGAATGTATGTACCATATACAAGTAGACAGGAATTTTATCTGTCCAGTTGTCACTGCTGGAGTGGTATCAGGTTCATGGTAGGCACTGGAAAAAGTCGCTGTTGAATGACTACGTAAAAGAACCTCCCTATGGCTCAGTTTTCTCATCTGTAAAAGGTGAGTAATGGTAGTATAGTATCTATCTTATAAGGTTGTTATGAGGATTAAATGGGATGATATATGAAAAGTGCCTAGAATACAGGAAGTGTTCATTACTGTAAGATACTATTGTTATTGCTGCTATTATTATGGTTATTACTACTAGCACTGCACCTAGTACTAGTCATAACTGTTGACTGGGGCCTTTCTTAAGGGGAAGCTTTTCCTAGTAGCCATATTGGTCTGGGCTGTTGGTGAGACCGGGGGCCCAGTGCTTAGCAGGGTCAGAGAGTGGTTGTGACCTCATGTACCCCAGTGTCCCCAGCCCTGCCTGGGCCCCTCCCAGGGCTCAGAGACTGTTCTTCTTCCAACATCACTTGCTTTTGCCCATTCCTTATCTGCTCTACTGCCCTCAAATACCTTGAGGGCTGTGAGGGTATCTTAGTCATCTCTGTATCACACACAGTGCCTGACTCAGTGCTCCGGGAGGTGCCATGGAAGGGCTCAGCAGATGTTCCCCAAGGGATCCAGGCAGACTGGGGCTGGACTCCACCCTGAGCCAGCTGAAGTTATGGGAATAATTTTAACATTTTTCCAGAAAGTATGGACAGATAGGGGAATTCGAAGGCAGGGGAGGGCATGGATCCTTGCCATTTTTGCTCTTGTTTTTCCTTCATGTGGTTTTTATTTTAGAATTCCTATTATATGAGAGAGGTCAAATGGATGTGGTAGGAGTCACACAAAATCACTAGTTCATTGGGTAGGACCTTCCCCTTCCTCATGTCATGCTGGACCCCTGTTGAGTTCAATAGGGATGGCACCATGTTCAAGAGGTCGAAGAAGAGGCCTGGAGGCAGCAAACGAGACATAGGGTTTATTGAGGGCGTTTACATACAGGGCTCTCCAGTGGTGGCAGGCTGGACAGGGAATCGCAACTGCTTGTAAAATGCATGCAGTTTATATAGCATCTTCACGTAGCACCCTCGTGCTAGTGACCTTCACCTGGTAACCTTCATTTAACACAAAACAAAGGGCCTCAATCCCCTGCATGTTCCAGGATGAGCTGGGGTACAGATGTTCCTCATAGGTAAGAAATGAATCTCCAGGTTCTTTATTCCTTAGCTTGGAACACTGAAAACAGGTTCTTCTTAGACCATAGAGCCATTCTCATGCTTAAGTTACCCTGTCAGGTGCATCTACCACACACTCCACTACCCTGAGGACAGAGCCAAAAAGATAAAGCAAGTCCCTCCAAGGCATCTGATTCTTCCACATGGTGGGTGTTGAGGGGTCAGGACTAAGCCTGTGAACAGACAGCATGTTTATTATATTTCCCTTTGAGACACAAAGTTCAGGTCTGGCAATGAACATCCTCAGTGACCCAGTGACCCAGGGGCAGGGTAAACAACCTTCTGGGAGAAATCTGCTTTAAGGAAAGAGATACGACTCCTGAGTTCCAGTGCAGTTTTGCCCTTGAATTGCTGTGGGGCCTAGCAAGTTACTGGACTTCTTTGAATCTTTGCTTTCCTATCTGGTAAATATATTTCTCCATCTGAAGGTCCCATACCTTCTTATGAAACACTATTGAGGCTTTTCAGAGACACCTCTGAGTGAGTCTTAACAGGGAAATGACATATATTTTAGATACTGGTTAGGAAGAAATTTATTAAGTCTCCTTAAAAAATTAGTGTTAAGTATGTGCTGG